ACACCAATTTAGGTGTTTAATCTAGTTGGACAACTAAGATTAGTGTGATTGTGAAAATCCATTCATGTTGATAATCAATTTTTTGTCATAATTCATAAGTATTACCTACTTGATTGAAATAAAAGTAAATGCATTAGTAAGGCACAAAAAATAGCACAATCGCGAAGTTATTAGACATTACCAATACCTTAGATAATGTCTACTAATCGATTAAGCAGTAAGGTGAATAGCAAACAAATGTCATGAACTATTACATCAATAGTTAAAACTAGCCGAATTTCATAAATTTTCAAATTAGTGGTAGTTTCACTGCTTGTTCCATATTAGAGTTTAAATGTCTTATGAATAAATATATAGATTCAACTATCAATAGTTCTCACATCTCGAATTTCTCTCTTTTCTTTTTCTTTTCTTTATGTAACATACATGTATTTTGGCTGTTATGGACCAAATCTCGGGATAATGTATTTATTTGAGTGCAATAAATTAATTAATTCTGGAAAATGGAAGGAAGGCCAAGTGAGGTACTACATAATCATAGATCAAAGACAATAATCTCACTTAAGAGGCAAACAATAACATTTGACCAATTTGGTGTTCCATTTCCTATTCTTTTCCTCCACAGAAGTACAATGATTACTGAATCTTCTGTCTGGAAATAACTCTAAATGCTACTTGTCAAGTATTACATCTCAAAAATAGAGATTTTTTTGACCGTAAGTTGCATCATTCCTTTAAAATGCAACATAATAGAGCCCTATCATACATTCAAGTTCCACCATTCTTTTCGATGTCATCCATGCATAACCATCTAATATTTGTTGAATTTTAAACTTTTTTATTTATTAGTTACTTCCAAATTTTTTTCAGGTTTTGAATGGCTAACTTCATCTTATATTTCGGTTCTTCTTATGGCTCCAATTTTCAAAAAGATGATGAGATAATTCTAAATGGTGCAACAATATTTCTATTTGCATTAGAAGCGGAACAATACGATGGCCTTTTTATCATAGTACTTTGCTGCAATGGAGATATGTTAGGTTGAAAGTGAGTGTAGGAGCTAATGACAGGTCACCCTCTATGTATATTGGAGAATTATCAAATAATAGTTGATAATTTCATGATGACTTTATGAAATCCTCATGCAAAATAACTACATTTATTAAAATTTTCACAAGCATGTATTAATTAAGGAGTCGTTGGCCATGACACTAGTTATGTTGAGTCATAACATGCGCACTTGCGTTGTGACTAAGAGATTTCAACATTCAACAGAAATCATCCATAGAAAATGCTATGAAAGTGCTCTTGGAGCTATGTAGATTTGCAAAAAGGATTATTCGACCAAAACAAACAAATGTGTATCTACCAATAAGATATAACACCAAGTATTATCCTTAATTCAAGGTTAGAGATGACAATATTCTACCAGTTTGTTATCACAGCACATTTTTATATTTAATTGGTCCTTGGTGTGCTAATTTTGCTATAGCATTTGCTATGTCAAACTTTTTAAATATAGGTATGTCACTCTGTCCCCTTTAATAAGTCATAGAAATAAGCAATTAGTAAAAAAAACTCATTAAATCTCTTGCCAAAAGCAGAATATGGTAGCGTACTACATTTTTAAAGTTTTTCGATTTTCTTCTACCAACTATCCAAAATTATTTAAAATGCAGGACGTTATGGGTACTATGAACGGCACTCATATCGCTGCTTTAGTTTCTACAACTGAGCAAGTGGTCCATAATAATAGGCATGTGATACAATTGCAAAATATTTTAACTATATATGATCATGATATGTGATTTGTTTATATATATATATATATGCTGAATGGAAGGGTAGCGCACACGATGCATGAGTATTAAAAATTGCACTGAAAATGCACATTGACTTTCTAGTTCCTTCTCTAGGTTCAAATTTAGTACTTATTTCAAATATTTAACATCAACATGCGCTTATTGTTCTATTTCGAAGAGTATAGAGTTAAATAAGTTGCTGTATCTCCTATATGCATGTAGGTAAGTCTACCTTATGGATGCCGCATATAAGATGGTGTATGGATTTCAGCATCATTCAAGGGAGGATGTGATACACGAGTTGGACAAGGACGTGAACGAGGCCAAGGGCTGAAGGAGTTATTCAATACCTATTACTCTCATCTTTATAATATAATTGAATGCACTTTCAGTGTTTTGAAGCAATAATTTGCCTATTTGAAATGGCCAGTTCCATATTCATATATGCAAAAGCATATCAATGTAGTGATAACGTATTGCGCATTTCATAATTTTTCTAAGTGAAAATCAAGTTTTAGATGATCACTTATTGCAGTACGAATAAGAGGACATGCAAGTTGAAGTGAATGTAGAGTTGGTCCATATCCGCAGATACAACCATTGGCTATGTCCCCGCAGGAGACAGAAACTTGGAAAGTAATGAGAGAAAACATTGTTAATCAAATGTATGTTGCATAACGTAGGTGAAGACAGTAGTAAGATAACTTTAATGTCAACATAATACTAGGTAATAACTAAGGAAGTTCTACAGCTTTTACATGAAATTAGAAAGATGAGGACAATGATATTAGTGGCCTTAACAACTTCATAATGTTGACTTATTCTAAGGGGTAGTTTAGTAGTAGGGTCTTTTTAATGCCACAAAATAGGAGATGCAATTTATTTCTATTAGTGCACCAAATTGTGGACTGCGTGTTGCTTTAGTCTAGGAGATATTATATGATGTATTGCATTTGAAGTTGCTATTGTACTGGTGGTATAGCACCAAATGTGATACATGATTGCAGGAATTCTATGTAGTTTTAGGATAGGATAAAGACATAAAACAAGCTCTGCTGCTATGGTGGATCATAAATTCTACCCGTGCAAGTTTGTAGATTCAAATGTCGAATTTTTTGTCTACCAAAGCTACTTTTATTATCAAGTAGCGGAGATAAAACAAGTCTTAACCATGACTTCTCAATATAACCAACGACATTTGCAACTTTTCCCAAAGTAACTGGATGGAGAGATAATATGAATTAATGAAGTACTTTTTTCTTTGTGATAAATGATATTTTGGTTAGTTATGTCTAGTGAATGGAAGAACAACATTAAACGCTCAGGCCTATCAACGGGCCGAAATTCATTATTCCGGACCCGGACCCGGCATATCATATCGGACCTGAATCCAACCCGTTTACCCGACAGGTCTTCTACTCTATGTTCCGGATCCGGATCCGACGGGTCTCAGATCCGGATTGGGCCTACCTGAAAAAATTATCAAAACTTACAATTTCTAATAAAAATATGAGAAAAAAATATATTTGTAAACTAATTTCTAACTAATACAAAAAAAAAACCAAATAAGAAAAGAAATCAAATTGACTTTACTCAAATACATCACCCTAATCTAATTATATTGATAAATATATATTTTTTAAATTATTAATCCATTTATATCCGGATCCGGATCTAATACGGGCCGGAATACTATATTCCGTATCCGACTCGTTTTTTGTTTAACAAAACGGATCCGGATCCGGGTCCAGGTAACGAAATTAAATCCCTACCTGTACCCGCAAAAATTTCACGGATCCGGCCCGGGTCCAGTTCCCGACCCGGACCGTTGACAGGCCTAGCTGCACTAAACATGAGACGGTTGCAAAGTGTAATGGAAATAAGCTAAGGAGCAATTTAACTGATGCAGCTACGTGGAACAGCTTACATGGAAATACGTGTTCTTGTGGGCAATCGAATTAGTTTCAACATATTCTTTGCAATCTAAACGAGTTTTTTGTTATTTGAAATGTCTTTTTAGTTTAATAAGTATTACCAAATAATATTTCAAATAATTGATATTCAAACATAATCAATATTTTAGGAACTAAAAATAGTTACTTGGTCAATTACATCCTAACTATGCCTTGATGGACACCGGTCAATTGCATGTCTGCATTGCTTGTAGTGAAAGCCTGATCAATTGCATGCCCACATTACTTACAACTAGGAGGAGGTCAACGTGCTATCGTGCGGTATGGAGTTAATGCCCGGGATTTCTTTGTGCCCAGCATTGTTTAGCAATGATGTCAGTGTACGTGAAAATAAATTGTACAATGTCCGAGTAAGATTTGTGTATTTTCTATTTCGAGAACTTGGAAGTAAGGGGTAATAGTAGTTAGTACAACAATTAAGATGATCTTCCTGAATGCTTATCAAATGTCATGAATTAAGAAACATATTATAAAATATAAATTATATTCATAAGTACACAATCCAATTTGCTAAACACATAAAAAAGAAGAAAAATAATTAAATGCCCAGATCGGAACTAATCTGCTTCCAAGGCTCCAACATTTGCATTCTCAATCACTCAAATCTTAAGAGTATGTTAAGAAATTAATAACCTCCTGTATATATCTTTTCCAGAACATAGTGTCAGAATGACAATCTTGTTAACATCATAGGCAGTACACCATTATTCATTGAGCAATAGTCTGGTACAGTGGCGTATCCAACATTTCCTCCAGTGCAGAAGCCTAGTGACAATATCAGATTCTTTTTTTGAGATAATCCATAATCAAAATACCAACACTAATAACAATAAAACACCCACACAAAGCAGTAATCTAATACTCAAAGAAAAAAAATAATAAATATAAACAAAGCCAACTCCACTTACAAAGTTTTCTAAACAGACTTTTTGAAGGTAATCCTCTTTCTTGATAGCTTGTCTTAAAAAAGTCTGACCAAAATATATTTCTAGATTATCAAAATAGAACAAATAAATCAATAAAAGTAGGGATAAACATATAAAAGATGTATAAAAAAAATTAAAGCTCAAGTAAAAGGAAAAGATATAATCAAAAAGGAAAAGTAATTTCTTAGAATCCCCTCTACAATTTTTTCCTAAAAACTCTCTCTTCAAAGCTAAATTTTGAAGGAAATTATAGAGTATCTTAGACAAAAGATCATATTTTAAATACAACAAGAATTCAAAAACTTAACCACCATTTAACAATTTGCAATATGCTTAAATCATGTATATGCAGGAACAAAAAGACACTAAGAAGAAAAAGAAAGGAGAATAAAAATCTACAGTGCTTTTCATTAGTATATCCAGTTGAAGAACTGTGTCTAGTTTACACCATACTGCAGAGCCAGAGCTAATACCTTGAATAGCATTCCATGTTTGTCAATTTCTAGAAGCACAACCATTTGTCAAATTGTAATCATGCTTGTTAGTCCAAATAGGATAGAAACCAACCATCTTATAATTCCAACACGGACTCTTATAATCCCATCAACAAATGTAGAACCATAATGCAGACAGGGGGAAAAAGAAGCATTTACAAAGAATAAGAAAAAAAGGAATTTAAAGTCTTCTCTGGATTTTTATCCCTAGATGCTATTAGCTACATCATTCCTTCTTTTCCAAAGAGGTAAATAAAAATCATGGTCATTAACTATGTAATTTACTGATCTGCCACCGAGTATTCAACCTTATTTAGTGAATAAACCTTCTTATTGTAGTACGATGGCCTATTGCATAAATCAATTACAGTGCAAGGATCCTTACACAAATCATAGCAGGGTAATGAGCAACAAAAGAAAAACCTAAATGTCTTTCATCCATAGGATCATAGCTGTTACAATGTGCGTAGCTCTCACAAATCTTCCATTGATCATAGCCTGAAATGCTGCAACAATAAAATTATACATGTAAGCACGTCAATTTGTCAAAGTTCTGAGGACCCATTACTAAGTTTGAAAAAATAAAAGGCTTCAAACCATACTGGCTATTTGAGAGGTGACAAAAGAGTTATAAAATATAAAAAACAAAAGCATCAAAAAGCTCAAACATATAGCAAAGTTATAGTCTGCTTTGCAACACAACGGCATACTAAATAAAACCCACCATTCCTATTTAGCAGTAATTTCTATAGTCACCTAAAAGCAAAATAGGTGTCAGAAATGATGCCACTGGTGGTCTTTAAAAAAATTAATGCAATGAATTTGACCATTAGCTTGGGAAGAAAAGCAAATAATAGCAAGGAACTTAGCGATACTTCAAAGATATTAATTCCACTTGAGCCATTGCTGCACCAAAAGTGGATATCCAACCTCCGATTATATCAAATTAATGATTTGAGCCACTTATTATATAAACCCCAACCCAACAATTATACAAGGATCAAGGAATTAATCTTAATAAATGGCTATTTCAAGTTTTACAATACAAATTGCCTTTGTACAAGTTGAGTTGAACATACACTTGCATGAAGATACCGACAGGAGGAGGAAAAATCAGATCAGTTTTGAAGAGTGTTCAAAGCGGACAAAAAAGTGTTTAGATTAGATGAAAAATCAAATTTACAGATTTTCTATAATCTTTTTGTAGGTGACTATTTTCTGTTGATCACATGAAGAAGTTAGGGACATGAAGATCTAAACGGAAAAGAAATTGGCTAAATCACTAAGCACAATGACAAGCCTTAACATGGAAAGAATTTGTGCATTATCCCATAGATAAGGACTCCACAAGAAACAATCATAAATGTCTATTCAACCAAAACACCAAAAATTTACTTTTTTCATTTCAACTATAATCTATGCAATAAATTACTATGCAAGCACCATTTTACTTTCTGTTTTATCTATTTCTCTAGGCCACAAACTCAAACATGACAAACAAAAAGGAAGCTAGACCATATACTTAATTACATGAAAAATACTTAAAAAAGCAAATTTTTATTGAAAAGAGGTATTCTCCGCATATTAGTATGAAAAAAGGATCTAAAAAATACTGAAATTCCTAAAAAAAGACCTATAAAAAATCAAAGATATCAGGCTGCCAAAGAGAAACTCTCAGTCATTTCCATGGTTCCTCCTGCAACAACAACAAAAGTAAAGTATACCAGAGTTATTTATGAACAAAATATGCCCTATCTTTAATGATTTAAGTTAAGAAAACCTTATATAGAGGATGAAGTCTAATTGAGCAAGAAATATGTCAGCACAACTTGTTGGATCGCAACATACTATAACAAAATATCCTAATTATCAAATAAAGTAATAACCATGTCATTGTGTAAACCATCAAAAGTTGGTGTCACTTATGTACCTCCAATTTTATGTTCCATACTTACACACGGTGTGGTCGTCCAACCTTGAATTTTGTTGTTTGTAGTCCAATTTTAGTTCTTCCACTTTTAGATTTCAAGTGGAAGCCACAATAGCATGTTATAAGTCTCTTTGGTTGCAGTGCCAACTCTATGGCTTCATCCACTCCTCAGATTTACAATATCAATTTCAATTAGCCCTACCTTCTTCTGAGTAAACCATCAAAAGCAATTCTTTCACCAAAAAGTCAAGAATAAATTCTAGTACAAAAAACTACGAAAGAGAAATAGAATTCAAACTACCATAACATAAAGTCCCTACAAATTTTTTAATCTACGGATCCGACAACTACTCTGGTCAACCTAACACAAATTTCCTTGCATAATTACTTAACAAAATATTAAAGCCTTACCTTTGAAATATATGTCAATTGGCAAAAATGCCAACTTTTTACATCTGCAATCACAACAAGAAGAAAGCGAGTTTTAGAAAAGAAAAAGGAAACCATAAAAAAAATGCGCACACACACACACACCTACATGGTCGGTAAAGGTTAATGTTTCCAGTAAAACATCTGGAACCATGGAAGAATGTCGAAACCTCCATCAAAATCATCATCAGTTCATCTTCAATCTCCATCATCCTTTCCACCTAACAAAAGGAAAAAAATGGACAAAAAAGTAGCCATCACTCCGAGTCCAGATTAAAATGATGAAAATATTTATTGATGAAACATGCAAGGTAAATCCTTAAAGAACGAAAAAAATGAATCATGTCAGAAAATTAACTATAGTGGAGATTCAGTGATTACGAAGCCAAAAAAAAATAAGTTTTCTTAATGGCAAAAAATCTGATAGCATAACAAATAGAGACGCAGAGGAGAGGAGAAAATGATTTGTTGCTTTTAGCAAGGAAAAAAAAAAGATCAGGAAAAAAAGGCAGAAAAACAGAAGAAATTAACCATTATTGCTCAAGAGAGGAAAGAGGGAAAAGGGCGATGAAGGAAAAAGAGAAAAATGAAAGGAGAAACCAAGGAAGAAGGAGATTACCAGCCCCTTTCACCTTGAGCCCCTCATCCACCAAATCCCGGCACCTTCTTATCAAATCCCATCATCTTCTGAGAAGAAAAAGAATCTGGACCCACACGTACAAAGAAAGCTATGGACTGAGGAAGGACCTTGGGGCTATTGAACACGGTATTCTATCCAAAAGATAACAGCCATGTTTTTTTAAGCAAAAGCACATGCAATGCTTATGACAAGAACGACCACCATTCGTCCAATAGCAAAGTGACATGTCAGCAAAAAGGCCAATGTTTTGGCACACCACCCCAATATCGTAAAATAATGGCAACCCATATTGAGCCCATCACCCAACACTTTCCATCAATCAAACCATCACCAACCGTCATAATAAGCTTACTCAGCTGGCAATCTACTGACCAGAGAAATGGTGGTCATGCTATAGAGAAATGTTTCTTCTGAAAAATCGAAGGTCCAAGTTTTCTTCTCTCGGACAACAGCAAGAATTGCACTTCTCCTCCCAGCGAAAGCACGTGAGTCCCACATGATTGACGACCAAACTCCAGCCAATAAAACCCAGCCACATCAGCACAACAACCACCATTCTTAACAGATCCATTCGTGCTTTTACTATATAGGTTGATGAATGCAAATTAGAAGGCCTTCACAGATCATGATCAATCTAGGCATAAGGGGTGAGAGCTTACTTTTAATTTATTTCAACACAAATAAGTATTTCGCAGACAAACACAATAAACAAATCTAGACCACAGAGGAAGAAATATTTCCTATACTTGCTCTGAATGATGGCCTTCATTTACTAATTGTGACATAATGGCAACCTCCAAGACCACCTTTGAAAATCCTGTCATAGTCGTCCTTAGAATGAAAGATGACAAGAAACAAATCATTTTCTTGATCAATTATTTCAAAATATTGTTGAAACTCCACAAATGTGTGAGATACCTATCTAGTAGATTGTAGTACTAGTTTTCTAAAACTTAAAAGGCAGCCATTTAACTGATTTTACGAGCCAAGAATAAATGGGTTCAATTGAACGAGTGGGGATAAAAAAAACTAGAGAATTGAATGATGCTATAAATATAACTTAGTTATAAATGAATTAAAACAACACCATAACACACTTATAACTTATGGTATTTTTAAACTTCAAATGAAAATAGATGAAAACAAGAAGAAAAAAGCGAAAATGGATGAGTTTACAACTAAATTGATAAGCCCTATCTGACGTAATATAAAATTTAAAATTACAATTAAAATTAAAAGAAAATTCATCAGATCAATAATAATTGTCTAAATGATCCAAAGGTAAAAAATAAAATACTAGAAAAGTTTTGAATATTGAACTCAAGTTCAAAGAAATTAAAGGAAAATTAAAAAGGGTGAAAAAAATGCATCAAGAAGGAAAAAAAAAAAGGTCAAAGAAATCGATTTTTCTGAATCAAACACGATTTTAATCCCGTCAACTGCTACCCGGTCTCACTAGATGACTCCAACCGGGCAGCTCTAGCCGATCGCTCCGGTCCGAGTTTTTCCCAATGCAACGACCCAAAAGGCAAAGAAAGAAAACTTTCCATAAACTTTCAGACCAGGACTTCTGCTCCATGGTTTTCCCGATTCGGGAAAATTATGCATTTTCCTTTTCACCCCTCTCATTGGCTGGCGTCTGATTCATATCCATAGTTTCTCCATGAGAAAGGGACCTTTTTGCTTTCCCTTTTGCTCCAATTGTCACTAAGATTTGGTTCCCCAAAACCCCACAATTGCATTAGGGTCTAGGTTTTCTGGGTTTTTTTCTCCATTCCAGCGGTTGTCTTCATTTCATGCTGCTGGAGAAATGAAGACATCCTAGATTTCTGCGGTGATTGATCAACAAGCAAAGCTGTGAAGATGTCTAGGCAATCAACAACTCCTGCTTTTCACAAGTCCAAGACACTTGACAACAAATATGTAAGAATTCTTAGAATTCCCACACCCTTTTTGTTTACTTTCATGATCCCAATTTTGCTTTTTTGGAGAAAATTCTTACTGAAACTGTTAGATGATCTTTGTTTGGAGAATATTGGGTTTCATGATTCAGTCGGTGCTCGGGATTTTATTGATCAAATTGATCAATGCGCAATCAGTTTTATTGATAAGTTAATCACATTGCACTTCTTTGTGTGTGTGCGCGCGCGCGTGGGGTGGGAAGTGTTTGGTTTAACAGTTTAAAGTTTTTGAGCAGTTGGGTTTTGGATTTTAGCAAATTTTCTGGCAAGAATCTATGTGGAAGCCAATGTAGGTTTCGTTTTTGTGTTGCATTCATTTGTTTATGCGTTGAATTCTGCTTGGTGAAGATGCTCGGCGATGAGATTGGAAAAGGAGCATATGGGCGAGTATACAAAGGCTTGGACTTGGAGAATGGAGACTTTGTTGCTATTAAGCAAGTCTCTCTGGAGAATATTGCTCAAGAAGACCTGAATATTATCATGGTATACTTAATTACTGCCCCTCATTCTCTGTTTCTTTTGTTTGTGTTTTTTTTGACTGCTCTTGCGTAAAAGATAGTTTGTTTTGTACGGTTAATCACAAAAAAGGAAAAAAAAGGAAGGGTAGAGGAAAAGGGGATAAATAAACTGATCCATGAATTTGGGCAGCATAAATTAAGGAGGATTGGATGGATGGCTAGAAATATAATTGGCAGAATTAGCCAAAAAGGCAGGTCTGGGTGCCTAAAGATTAAAGAGGGCAGAGTCTTTAAAGGGCATCTGACCTGAATTTTTTTACCTATTATATTACACTGCTAAATGTCCAAAAAAAATGTCCACACGTTGCACCTTCTACAAAGCAACTGATACCTTTTATCTTTGCTTTTATTGCTACTTTCAAGTTGTATTGTCCTTATTGCTTGTATGTCGGTCTAACAATTTCCAGAAATTTTCCTCATTGACTCCTTTCTCTAAACTCACAGTAGTCGTAGTTGTATTACCGTGCACTTTTAATCTGTGGGTTTTTTGGTGACCTTTGTTTGCGTAATTAAGTTGCTCTGTGAATTTCATTCCCCATGACACGGGATGCGAGTTTGAATAAGCTAAGTTGCTTCTCTCTCTCTCTCTCTCTCTCTCTCTTCCCCCAAAATTTTTCTTAGTATTATTGCGACTGTAAAGGCATGCTTTGCCTAACTAAACTGATGCAGTCGACAAGGAGCTCTAGCAGTGTGATTTGCAGCAAGAATAGATCCATTGAGTGCCTTTATTAGTCACCTTGCTTAAGTTCATTTGGAGGGATAAGAAGTTCTTCACCTTTGCTTAAGTCCATTGAGATTTAGTACTTTCTAGAAATTTAGGTCTGGAGGGATAATTTGGTCATTTACTTGATTGCCGGAAAATTCAAAATCGTCTCATCGAGTCTTTTTAGTTTTGTGTTAGGTTATGAGTTGAACTTGTCACTGTTAAAGGAAGTTATATAGCTACTTTCCTTTCCTATTTAAAATAGGAAATAGGAGTTGTGCATGTTTTAGGAAAGTTTATAGCTTATGAGTGCTTGTCTTCAGATTCTATTGTAGGCAGCAAGATTGATGTATAAAGAGCCCATACTCTATGTGTACTATGTACATATTTTTATGAGGTGCACACCCTTTGCCAGGTCCCAATGAATCTGCTTTTGTAAAAAAGCACTAATGAGTAGAGGAACAAAAGAGCTACTCATAACAGGTGAAAGATCTGTTTTCCGAGGTTATGATTGGGAAAAGAATTTCAAGGCTTGTATTAGTTGCTTCATATTCCATGCATATATCTACTAGCAGAAATTGGGTGGCGTAGGGGGATTTTCTAGAAATGCTACTTTTGTGTTTTCATATTTCAAATGTTGATAGAGTATTTTTTTCATATTCGACTCACTAATCTTTTCTTTGCTTTTTGGGTGATATTATTGGTTCGATTTGTCGATGTTGCAGCAAGAGATTGATTTGCTTAAGGTAAAGTTTACTTCTTCAGCTTCTTGTGAAATATGTGGACACACAAGTATTTTGTCAAAGTAATTAGATGCCGAATGATAAAATAACACCTTGCTTGTCTTTTGTGTTTGTTACACATAAGCATTTTGGTTGACTGACAATCTTCCCTGCTGCTAGTTATGAAAGTGCCATCTTTCCATATATTATCAGAAGATGTCCTAGCAACAATGTTTTAAATCAGGCAAATACAAAACGTTTTAAATCCACATCAGGCAACAATATGGAAAATCATTCAGTGGATTCTCCAATAAAATAGGCTGCTCCACTGCATTGTTATCTGCTTTCAAGCTGCTTCCCACATCTATGTCTATCATATGAGTGGAGTTTCACAGTTTTTTGCTTTAACTTTACAGAACTTGAATCACAAAAATATTGTAAAGTACTTGGGATCTTTGAAGACAAAGACTCATCTCCATATTATTCTTGAGTGAGTATGCTTAAGGAATTTTCTCACTGTATTTTTAGGCTATTGTAGATAAATGCTTTTGACCTTTTTTACCCTTTTTGGCAAAGATATGTGGAGAATGGTTCACTTGCCAACATAATCAAGCCCAATAAATTTGGACCCTTTCCAGAGTCTTTGGTTGCTGTTTACATATCTCAGGTTTGAAAGAGAGTTTATACTTAAAACCTTCTTTTACTACGGTTTCAGTTATTACACTCGGCTCATTCATTTGCTAGGTTTTGGAAGGATTAGTGTATCTACATGAACAGGGTGTAATTCATCGGGACATCAAGGGTGCAAATATATTGACAACCAAAGAGGTACTATGGCTGTGTTTCGGCATTTCTCTGCTGTTGCATCTCTTGCTTGCACGCCTCTTGTGTTCATTTCTATCTCTGGCTATAGATGGGATGTTTATAGATGGGATGTTTATCTTATTTTGGGACACAGTCACTGGATCCTTTTGTATTTCTCTTTTTGTCTTAAGAAACTCTGTGGTAGTTGTCTTTGTAGGATTTAACCTGTCTTGGTAGAATGCTTAAATGATCTTGTGCTTTTAGGGTCTTGTCAAACTTGCAGACTTTGGAGTTGCAACGAAACTAACAGAGGCAGATGTTAATACACATTCAGTTGTTGGGACTCCATACTGGATGGCTCCTGAGGTACTTCC